GTGTGTTAGTTACCACCAAATAAATGAGCTAAATAGTGGCCTTCAAGTATTATTCTCACATTATGTAATTTTATTTACTACTAGAGGCCTGGTGCATGAATTCGTGCACGGGTGGGATTCCTTAGGGTAGCCTGTGGGGATCAGGCTGAAACTGGCAGTCCACTGCTGCCTGACACTCCTGCCTGCTGCTCCTGCTTATCCCGGCCCTGCTGCACCTGCCATGTGGTGGCCCCAGTCAGTCCCGATCGGGAGAAGCTGGTGCCACCACAGCGGTGCTCGCCAGCCATGAGCCCTGCGTCTGGAGCCCATCCCGAAGGGGTTAGGGGGGGTTGGCCAGGACGCGATTGGCCCTCCGGGTAGGCAGTGGGACGCCCTCGCCGGCCCAGGATCTGGATCCATCCCGCTGACATTCATGCCAGTTGTCGGGAACCAACTGGCGGCCGCTTTTATATTGTTTCTTCCTTGCAGTGCGTCTAGGGAGGGGAAGCCAGACGGTCTGTCAGTGCCTAGCTAGCCTGTTCTCCAGAGATTGGACCTGCAGGACTACTGAGGGAGTGAGTGGCTGCTGCTGGGCTGGTGGGCCACCGGGATGGGTCGGGCAGCTGAACGGCGCTCCTGCTGTGAAAGCACACTGATCACCAGGGGGCAGCTCCTGCATTGAGCATCTGCCCCCTGGTGGTCAGTGAGCACCATAGCAACCAGTCAACTGGTCGTTCAGTCATTCGGTCGCTTAGACTTTAGATAGATAGATAGATAGATAGATAGATAGATAGATAGATAGAAAGAAGATGCCTCTTCAATTATTTTTTATTATAAGAAGTTTAAATTTCCAAACCACCTTTTAATTACAAATATTTTCTAGAAATCTAACTTTAAAAAACAGCTGTTAGCTTTCCATTAGACTGCATATTCAATACACTCAGCCTTTCACCCTCATCACTCATTGAAAAATATAAGTGTTCTATTGGTCAGTCTCAGATATTTCTAATTTACCTAACATAAAAATTGTATTCAGTAGTTAATGGAAGTGAAATAAGCCAGTATTTTTCTTGTCACTGCCGTTATGTTCTGTTTATACATAGCTTATTTTGCCACATGTTGAAAGAATATGTTCATCAAGGAGAAAAATATATTATTTTTAATGATGTTGGATGTTATTTTAAATATTGCCAGGTGAAAAGCAAGAAAATTTTAGTGTAATTACAGTACAGTTAAAGGCTAAACAATTAACTATACTAGACTCTGAAAGCACATCAGATACATCGATATCTGCAGAGTAGAGTTTTAGAGAAGGAGCCTCATTCATTCTGAATTTGTGATAATCAGAGCATGAGTTGAAGTTTGTTTTTTATCCATACTCTGAGCAAATGAATACACATTGCTTGTTATGCTGTTATGTAATGTGACATTTTTATTAAGACTAGTGTAAATTCTTTTTAATTGGCTTGATAATTATGTTGCATTATACAATATTTTAAAAATGCAATTTGGCACATGAATGCCTCTTGAGTCATAATTGCCTGGAAAAATTACGCTTTTTTTTTCTTTAAATGAATCCCTAGTATGGACTCATTTTTAAAATCTGGCCAAAGAAACTTAACATTAATTGAATTATGTTTAATTATTTTAAAAAGCTGGCTGCATGCCCATTAGATTGGCTTGTTAAAACACATGAAAAAGAGTTTTAAATATTAATCTGCCTACCAAAAACTATAGTTCCATATCGAAAGCAGTAAAATTTTGTTAGTGACAAAACAGCTTCTATTTAGTAATCTATAAATAAAATTATTTAACCTAAAACTTCCTAAAGCGATTATTTAAAAAAATTCTTTACTGAATAGCATAGTATTAGATGATTTGTATTCTTGCTTTTTGGATAATCCTGAACAATCATAAGAGAGGAAATGAAAGAAATAGTAGAAATATTTGTATCATCAGCAGATTTTAATTCCCTGTGTCAATACGGCACGGGGAAATGATTACGAAGTCACATGATACTTTGAATTTATATGTATATAGTATCTGTGCATAGAAGGCCTGCCTGCTGCTCCATAAAGGCCTTGTACAAGGTTGGCATCTGGGGACTTGGATTTGGGGAGGGTTCCCACTGTCATAACTGGTAAGATAAGAATGGTTCACTCTGTCTGTGCAAGCAGTGTGGCTCACCTGCTTTCCTCCTTCGAGTCTGGAGTTTTGGTTTGTGCCAGATAGAGCCTTCCTGTGTGGCTAGCTCCCGGTGTTAACCTTAAGTACTGGTTCTCTAAGAAGCTTTCCTGTTTGGCAACATTTCACATGTGTTGCTGGGATAATGAGTAATCCTGTGTGACCACTCAGACAGTATTCTGGAAGCCTCCCCTGGATCCCCTGGACTTCTCTCCCCCTGTGGCTTTTCCTTTGCTGATTTTGCCTTGTATCCTTGCTTATATAGTCCTCACAGCCAGTCATAAAGCTCAGGGGTTAGGTGGGGATTCCCGACCTGGAATCTTATTGGTGATGGCTGTCATGTCTGGACAACGGGGCTCAGCATCGCAGCTCCTCAGCAGAGAGGCTGATGTGGTGCCCAACACTTTCCTCAGCACAATGTTTAAGACACTTTCCTCAAGTCACCCTTAGAGTTTTAGGTTATGGGTTTAGCCCCTATTGTTAATTTAAAGGTTACTTCTTTAGTTTAATTTGCTAATTTCTTTTTTCCTTAAATGTTTTCTAAATCCTCAATGGTTAGTACTGTGCCCCATTTAATAAATGTTGAATTTAATTGAAGAGATCTCCCAATAGTACCTGGGCTCTGGTCTTTCTAGTCCTGTCCTAACCCTGCCCCCTCCCCCACAGAATTTACTCCCCATACCCCCTGTACCCTGATACACATACTTTGAACTTGCCAGAAGAAATGCCATCTTCAGGGTTTTGTGTATTACTAAGTCCTATTAACAACTCTTAGGAACACCAATGTGTAGATTTATCCACATTTAATAATGATTTTCAATACTTATTATATGCTGAAGTCTGAATCTAAACTCAAATTTACGTGTAATAACAGCCTGAATAAATTAAAATGTATTCACATGCTAAATGAATTGACCAGGAATCCTGAAAAATAATTTAAAATAAAAATATTCTCCACCTTTGGTAGCATAAATTTTGTCCATCTTTTACATGTACCCAATGAGTATAATGTAATTTTCCTATTGAAGGTGCTGCCATTCTAATTTTACTATCATTGGCTGCCATTTAAACAGAGCAGATTCTGCTACTACATAAATTTTAGGGTGCATGGCAAAACCTCATAGTCACAGGAAGCCACTCATACATATGGGTACAGCATGACACAGGGAACACTGTTGCTAAGTCTGTGTCACGTAGGAATTATACAGATGCTCAGCTGAGAAGCCACATGTTCTGAACCTTCATTGATTGCCCTTCAGTTGGGACTGTCATGAACTAATTGGCAAGTTCTGTATTTCTGAAGCCCTAGAAGTTATTTTAAAATGTAAAATATTGCCCTAGCTTGTTTGGATCAGTGGATAGAGCATCGGCTTGTAGACTGAAGGGTCCCAAGGTCAATTCTGGTCAAGGGTACATGCCCAGGTTGTGAGCTCAATCCCCAGTGTAGGGTGTGCAGGAGGCAGCTTATCAGTGATTCTCTCTCATCACTGATGTTTCTATCTTTCTCTCCCTCTCCCTTCCTCTCTAAGATCAATAAAAAAAATTAAAATAAATAAAAAATATTTATGAAAATGCTAAAATGTACCTATTTACTTATAGTGAAACCATAACATTTTGTCTAGTTTTATGACAAACTCTATCCTATATAATAAAAGTGTAGTATGCAAATTGTCCCCTCCACCGGGAGTTGTCCGGGAGTTCGACCAGGGGGCGGGACCAGCCAGGGGAAGGGAGGGAGGCCCCAGCTGGCAGCCAGCAGCCGCTAGGGACCCTTCCAGTGCACAAATTTTGTGCACTGGGCCTCTAGTATTGTATATTTAGCAAATAGTGATTTGAAATGTAGTTAACTCACAGCAAGATTAAAAATCTTTTCTGAAAAACTTTAAAAAAATCAGATTCAAGCACCTAGTAGCCCTTTGAAACCAAGACAATAGACGGTAAGGATGTATAGGGAACCTACCCCAAGATCTCCTGGGTGTGTCCATTGCCCAGCAGGTAGAATGTCTGGCTACTGTGAGATAGCTTGGGGAATCCCTGACAGCAGATTTTTTCAGAGAATGTATATGTCTTAGACCAGCATGGGTGGTGAGCCAGCACTGGACTAGGAATACTTGTGATTGGTCTACAACCAGATTACTGTGGAAATGGAAAGTATTTAAATATTTTTACAGAAATTTGACACCGAATGTCATCCAAATATGTATCTCTAATAATTCATTGTTACTATATTTTACAAAAGTATTGCTCTGTGATCGACTGGGACTTTCTAAATGGGCTTTCACCACAGATAGTTTAGGAATGCTTGTTAAGAATTCCATTTCCTCAACCTCAGCATAAGCCATTGGAACCCAAATCTCTGGGAATGGGGACAAGTCCAGGACTCTGCGTTTTAACAAGCTGTCCAGACCATTCACTTCAGTCTGAAGTGTGAGAACTGCTTTAGGAAGAGGAACAACAAACTGACTGACACTTTAGAATCAGAATTGCAGAGAGCAGCTAGGATATAGATGCTTGCAGTCCCCATGGATGAGTAGCCATTGCCATTGCCACTCAGAACCGCCTGGGGAACAGACTCCCTCCAAGCCTTTTCACTGCCACCTGCAGGCAAGTTGTAATACTGCACTCGTGGTTCATTGGTCAATTTTCAACCACTGAGCCACACAAGCCAGGCTAGTATTACATCTTCATATGCCCCACACCCATGAACCAGTATACCCAATCACTGGAAGTGGGAAGCCTGCAGAGCAATGTTTTTTGGTCACCATCATTCCCCACCACCCTGCCAACAGGAACTTCCCACATGGAGTTCATCGGGTTCCATTTTCTTTCCACCTCAGGAATCCTCCTCATGATGTCCTTGTGCAGTGAGGTGCACGTGTACGAATACCTCCCGTCCGTCAGGCAGACGGAGCTGTGCCACTACCACGAGCTGTACTACGACGCGGCCTGCACACTCGGGGCCTACCACCCCCTGCTCTACGAGAAGCTGCTGGTGCAGCGCCTGAACACTGGCGCCCAAGGGGACCTGCACCGCAAGGGCAAGGTGGTTCTGCCAGGGCTGCGGGCCGTGCACTGCCCCACCCCCAACTCTTGAAAAGGGACTCTGGGGAACCAATGTGCAATAAGTACTACTGTTGTGCTCTAAGTCACAAAAGAATACTTGAACATGTATTTTAGGCAATGTAGTCTTGAGTCTTTAAACTGCAATTTAGTGAGGGCCTCGAGAATTCTTCTCTTTTTAAGCCCTTGAGTATTTATTGCTGCTTTGAATATAGTAATGGAATTGAAAGGGGAAAAAAGATCAAGAAAGATGCACAAAAAAGAATAGCTGGGAGAAAAGAAAATGTATAACAAAACTGCTAAGCTTTTTCCACGCTGTGGGCACAGCTTATCAGGGCTGGTGTCAGTGACAGGGCTGATGCCTGCAACACATCTAACACTAAAAAAAGGTTTATACCTGGAAGCACGAACATTGAGGCAAGTGTTTGCAGCATTGAGTGTCACTTGTGTGGACATTCATCAGAAAAGATTCTAGAGTTTATGACGAATATCTGACTTGCCACTCAGCTGTGTTTATTTTAACATCAGGAATCTAGGATTCCTGTGAGGTGCCTGTGTTTCCAAACCATTGCATTCGCCATCTGTGCTTCCCGAGGCCACGAGTGATTTGCTCTGTGTCAAGACACATTTCTGAAACCATAGAGCATCCATGTCAAGCAGGCCAAGAACAGTCCAGCCTAGAATAGCACACAGAGGAGACATGTACTTTTCCTCCAGGATTTTCTTATCAACTGGGAGTATCCCCCATATGGAAGGAGCAGCACTGGTGAGTAGCACAGAGTAATGAGGCTGCAGGGTAGCCCTGCATGGGATGTTTCCTGGCCCCAGCGCTCTGCCTTGGACCTTCTCACCGGCCAGCCCTCCCCATGGCCTTCCTAGTCATACACAGGACAGTGAGGACACACCTATGGGAGAGGGCGCCTTCCAACCCAGAAGGAGGGGTTTTGGAGCAGTAACCCCTGCTACTGGGATGCACATCTTTGTCTTTTATGAGGATTTCTTGCAGGTTAGTATCAGCTGTTGGAAACCTGATACTAATTCTTCCTACAGATGGACGGATGGACGTTTAGGAATCCCGTCCTCATTTTCACAGATGTGTTTTATGTCAGCAACATAACAAAGCCATATAGTTAAATAAGATGGTGTGAAAGCGTGGCTCTTTAGCAACAAGGAAAACATGTAACTGCTTCAGGGGGAAGACGGTTGGAGGGGAAATGGTCACCCAATGCATTGGCTATATTCAGTTTTTGTTTTACTTAATCTAAACTTTGGTCACTCATACATTGAAAAAAAGATTTTGATATGAACATAGTTAAACAGAAACATTTGAAATACTTTAATTAAACATGGCATTATTTCAATATGCAACCAAAACATATTTCACTGGTCTGTTTGGCACTTCTTTGCAATGACTACAGCAGTTTAATTAAGTGCATTCCCCCTCGAGAATGTGTGAATGGCAGGAGGTTTTATGGAAAGTTTTTTTGTTCCAGATTGCTTTTTCCTGAGCCCTCTCAGTACTGCTTTCTTGAGCAAGAGTGATTTACAGAAACGGATGACTATTTGGCTCATCTCAGCAGAAATCCAAATGGATAGCAGACTCCTATAGACATCTTTACTGTAATAGTGAAGTAACTGAAAGTTTAATGTGGCAGTGTCCATGAAAGTCCCTGTGAGAGCTTCGTTTCTGTATCCATGAGAAGGGGTGGGTAATTTTGTTCTGCACATTAGCTTACGTCTGAGTAGACCTGATCAAACGCTTTCTTCCTTATTTCCTGAAAGAGCTCAGTCTTGTCCCATGTCTAGTGGGTCATGGGTTCAGTGATGCTGGATGCTGGTGAGGTAGCGCTGGCGCGGCGAGCAGTCCTCTTGCAGTCCTGATCCCAGCCCCCTGGCTCTGCCCTCACATGCAGGGAATGGAGGTTCCCCAGTCGTCCTCATGAGCCCTTACCACATCCCGTTACCAGGACAACCCCCTTTGATGACTCGAGAGGTTGGTTAGAGGAAAATGTACTGGGTCAATGTAAATACTCAAGTTCCAAAGCCCCAGAAAACACTTCAAAGATTTTTAAATTGCATTATGTTGTAACGCATATACTTTTAAAAAGTGCTTTCTATCTCAGTGAAATGATAAGAAAGACTGAAGGATATAGAGGAAGTTTAATTAAAATCTTTGAATTTATTATGGTCTTGACTCTTGGGAATCACGATTTGTTAAACGTTCCAAAAATGTGGTACACATATTAATATAGCATGGACTGGGCATTCTTCAATTTAGAAGTTTAAATTGTTTAGCCTCTCAAAATATTAGGCAGTTGGAGTTAGCATGATGACTGCTTCGAGGATTAGCCAAATGGGTCTTAAGTGCAGTATTTGGCCAGACATTGATTAAGTCCTTACAGGCTACATATGAACTGCAGTAAAGCACACAGGCCTTTTGTGGCATATTTGATAATAAACAGTGCCCCACTGCATTTTTTCCAGGTCCTGCCCCTTCTAAACCCTTCATCCTCCTCTGTTAAAGGACGCTGATCAAGTCCCCATAGTGCAATCCGAGGCCACTGGTCCCTTGTTGCACTCTCAGGATGAACAAGGTCACATTGCTATTGATATTTCATGATATTTTTCACTTGATCTTTTTTGGGTTTTGTTGTTGTAATCACAAAGAAACAACTGTTGGCAAAGGATGACAACTCACCTTCGTCTAGATTCTCCCTAACTCCTTTCACCAGTCCCTCCAGGTGTGAGGGTAAGGTGTAGCAGGTAGAGCGCTCTGTCTCCATGGAAGGCAGTGCTGGCCCTGTGAGTCTGACCCTCCCCTCAGTCAGTTCAGCGCTGCTTTTCTCAAGAAATAACCCTTTTCGGTGGCAGCACTTCCATCACAGAATTAACCAGGTCCCACTGGGCCACCTTAGGTGGGATCAATCTCACATGTGCCATGGTATGTGACGGGAGAATTTTGTATGTAGGTGGGGTCAGCCTCATATGCATCATGGTATGTGATAGGAGAATTTTGGTGTAGGTGGGGTCAGCTTCACACACGTCATGGTATGTGATGTCTGCACAGATGACTGGATTCAGGTCTCCGGAGACACATGGCACAGTGCATGTTTGGGCTGGTGGCCAAAGTCACCTGGCTCATTTCTGCTTAGCTATGGAAAGAAACGGGAGAGGAAGTGGGAGGATTATGGAGAAATACATGACTGCATATATAGGCCAATAGCCTCTGCATATACTCTACCACACTATCTGTGTGACTTCTCACATTCTGATAGTTTAGAACTCTACCCAGTGGTTGCACAGCTGGTAAAGGCAGCTACATTTAGAAATGAATTGCTTGCATAAAATGTGCCCGAGTTCAAATTTGTTTTTATACTCTGGATATTTCCATTGTGAAAAATATTCTGCATGTTTTTTGTCACTGGGACTTTACACAATTGGGAAATGAAAGGTATTTCTGTTAATTCAAGGATAAAATGTAAGTGCTGGTTCTTGTTTTATTGAATGAGTGAAGCCTTTTAGTAAGAAAAAATAATCCAGCATATTTCTCTACAAGTTTGGGCCAGTGGAATTTAAAGAATTAGTTCTCGCTCTTGTTATAAAAGTGTGCATATGAATATAGTTATATAATTGTATATACACATATCTACATACATGGTTGGATATATATTGTCTTTTTTCATCAAACTTTATTTCTGAAACCTTTGTAATACATTCTATTTTAATTATGAAAACACTAATTGTTGTTTTTTTTGTTGTTTTTTTTTGCTAATCCTCACCCGAGGATATTTTTCCATTGATTTTTTTTTAAGAGAGTGGAAGGGAGGGAGAAAGACAGAGAGAGAGAAACATCTATGTGAGAGAGACACATCAATTGGTTGCCTACCATACATGCCCCGACCAGGGCCGGGGATTGAGCCTGCAACCAAGGTATTTGCCCTTGACTGGAATCAAACCCTTGACCCTTCAGTTTGTGGGCCAATGCTCTAACCACTGAGCAACTGACTAGGGCACAAACACCAAGTTTTTAAGAGAAGGAAGCAAATGTTATTTGTCCTTCTGTTAAAAAAAAATTAGTCTTCCACACACTCATACTTTACACATCCTGGCTACATTAAAAAGTATAGTGGACATATTTAAACATCACTGTGAAGGTGAACCCACGACCTGAAGACAGCCTAATGTCACTCTGAAGTTTGATAAGAAGTTGACAACTAATGGCTTTTACAAGATTCAGGGAAGAAACATTTATTGGTTCTATGGAAAAGAATCTTCTCATTAGGTAGGTTTCAAGCAAATTAACTGTACTGGTAACATTAAGACGTAACATTTATAATATCACACATTCTGTTTATCCTAGATAAACTTAGGAAACTTTTCTGGTGGAAACCAGTGAACTTTTTTAACAGCGTTGGGACTTTTTTTTGTATGACAATTTTTAAATGAAATGTGTGCTCTTCAAACTAAGGCTTGAGGTTTCCAGGGGTTACATTTTAAAGGTGTTTGTACACATTTTGAGGTTTTGATATTTTCTATTTTGGTTTTGTATATTTTTATGTATACACAATGTACAGACTTTTTCTTGTAAATAAAACATTTTTTCAATTGTCTAGGAATTTCTCTGTTTTCATTTATAGAAGTTGCACATGCAGATGAGTGAGTGGCAAATAATGAGCCATCCTAGAAAAAAGGCAGGAAGCTGAAATCTGATTAGAAGTTGTGGAAGAAGCAACAACATCATGCCTCCAACTATGAGCATCACACCGGGCTTCCTCCAGGGCCTAACACCATAGCGCAGGGGAGCAGTTGCAGCAAAGCCAAGCAGAAAAGGCAAGGATAGACTATCATATCCTGATGTTGACTTCACCCAGCACTGTGATTAATTTGTTGCCTTGGGGGACTTTCCCAGTTCCACAGGGCTTTACATCAAAATTTAAATAAGTTATTAGAGGGGAGCCTGTAGGCAGCGAATTCACCTCCATCCACTGCAATGTCAAATTAGCCTTGCTATTTTCATACTTGCCGTGAGAGTGG